AATAATAATAATAATAATAATAATAGTAATAATAAAAACAATTATGCAAAATAAATAATCTCAATTATTCATAAACAAACGAGGCGTTACAGTCTACCCACCTTACAAAGAATTCCATCCTCGGAATTCGAAAATAAAACTAGAAAACGATAAAATACAAAGGAGAACTCAGAACTCAAAGTTCGGATAACGCCTCCTAATACCGTCCTCCCTTTCCCAAGTCGCTTCGGTCTCATCGTGTCGGCTCCACATCACCTTCACCAAGCTCACAGCCCGGTTCCTCAGCTGATGGACCTTCCAGTCCAGGATAGCTACTGGCACCTCCTCATAGGTAAGGTCTCGCTCGACCTGCAGCTCGCCGAAGTCCACCACATGATCAGTATCATGCACATACCTCCGAAGCATCGAGACATGGAACACGTCGTGCACACCCGACAAGTCTGGTGGTAAAGCCAGCCGATACGCTAAGTTCTCGACTCGGTCGAGGATTTCGAACGGCCCAATATAGCGAGGTTTAAGCTTCCCCTTCTTCCCGAAGCGAATCACATCTCGCATTGGTGAAACCTTCAGAAAGACATGATCTCCCACAGCATAAACATGCTCCTGCCTCTCCCGGTCGGCATAGACCTTCTGCCTCTCCTAGGCAGACCTGATGGTCTTCCGGATCTCCACAACGGTCGCTGCAGTACTCTGAACAAAATCAGGTCCTGTTATTCTCCTCTCTCCAACCTCATCCCAATACAAAGGGGTCCGGACCTTACGTCCGTACAAAGCCTCGTACAGGCTCATCTTGATCGAAGAGTGGTAGCTGTTGTTGTAGGTTAGCTCGACTAGCGGAAGGGCATACTCCCAAGTCAGGCTTCGGTCCAAGACCACAACCCTCAATATATCCTCCAAGTACTGGATCACACGCTCCGACTGACCATCTGTCTGGGGGTGAAAGGCTGTACTGAACTCCAACCTCGTCCTTATGGCTCGGTGCAACGTCCTCCAGAACTGGGATGTGAACTTGGCATCTCGATCCGAAACAATCTCCACGGGCACTCCATGAAGCTTAACAATGTCCTTGACGAACAGTTCGGCGAAATCACTCGCCTTCATGGTCGTCCGGACTGGCAGAAAATGGGCAGACTTCGTAAGGCGATCCACTATCACCCAAATCAAATCATACCCTCTCCTCGACTTCGGCAGTTCCACTAAGAAATCCATGGTGATGCACTCCCACTTCCACAGGGGAGCCTTAAGGGGCTGCAACAACCCTCTCGATTTCTGGCGCTCAGCCTTCACTTGCTGACACACCAGGCACCCATCCACGAACTTCGCCACCTGCCTCTTCATGCCTCGCCACCAGAAAGATTTCCTCAGGTCTTGA